ATGATCAGATGGGAAATTTATTTAATTCATTAATGCAAACTTTTCTATTGCATAAATGTTTTCATGCAAAATATTATTCTTTAGTATCAGAGGTATTAAGACACCATAACAATCCAACTCTTGTTTGGACAAGACAACAGAAAGACCATTCTCCATTTTCACCAGGCTGTAATCAATATGTCAGACGCAGATGAAAGACACGTCTCAGCTATGGGAATCACATTTTCCACCTACAAATTTTTATAATTTGTCATGTAAAGCTTTAAGATATGTGCCTGTGCACTGTCATTATAACGTTAGCATAGTGAAAGAAATGTATGACTCATCTGTTAAGTGGCTCATAATTTCCTCCTAAAGCAATATAAAAAGTAACAGCTATAAGTTGAATGAGAAAAATTAATCTGAGACTTTCTCTCATGGTTAGCTAAAAGAACCTAATGAACATTGCAGATGTTCATTTATTCCTTAAAGCGGTTTTGGTCCTTATCATGCTGTTTCACCACCGCCCATAACAATGAAGGAAAGGTAGACTCAGTGTCCCAGTAAACAGGCTGTAATGTTTTAATATGACTTTGTTCCAGACGTAGAAAATACTGTCCTTACCCTTTGTTGCAAACTTACCTGGGTTACTTTAGAAACATGCTAGATTGAAAAAGGTGACAGGTTCATTTTTTAAATAGAATGTTATAATGTATAAACAGATTTTTTATTTTATAAACAGGATCTATGCAAGTCTGTAAGCGTTACCATGGTATGGTTCATGGGCCCATTCCGTTGACCTGGATTCAGTGAAGGTTTCTAAGCGATACTATGGAAGAAGGAAAGACACCTATAATGATCTGTAAAGACATCTGAAAGACTGTGACAGCGCTTAAGGCTTTCATATTTGCCTAAAGAGTTTTCAATTTCTTTCCGTACAACTATGCATACATGTATATGTATGTATATACACATTACCTAAATATTTGACATAAATTCTCTGCTATTCAGACTCCTGTTACTGTCTAATATTATCCATTAACCATTTAGCCTAATAATTTACCTAGATTTTTGTAACTTTAGACACTCAGCAAATAGTAAACTCATATATTGTTGCTTTAATGTGAACTATTTTTTTTTTGATATAGTAAGGGCAATATTAAGGAGTTTGTTGAGTGAAAGCAGGTTTTCAAATTATGAGCTCTTCATCCTAGACTGTGGACTCCTTGCCACAAAGTTAGCTTGCATTGGGCAATATTTAAAAAAAGCTAAGATATATTTCACACAAAGAGTTCTGAATAGCATTTAACAATGTAGTCACCTATCTCTTTATTTTACCAGGCAAAAGACTGAAGAATTGGTATGCTTGTGTAAGCAATTTTCCACTTCAATCCAATCTCCTGAGTTAGCATGCATGTGTTTTATTATGAGTTCCAGAAAAGAGGCCTAGGTTGAAGTCTTGGCACTTACTCTGTATGTGTTGTGTGCTTCAAGACTGCTGAATACCGCTTGCTTTGCTGGAGTTGAGCTGTAACAGCACTTACTGGAAGCGTATGACACAAATGCAGAGCGAGCAGTCTCTTCAGAGATTGATGGAATGCTATAAAAATGGAAGAATTATTCACTTTGACATTTCTTCACCAGTCATTTGGCTTACATCTTATTTTTAACTCTATTGTGGGTTAATGATGTCTTTCAGAACAGAATACATTATGCATCTTTTAATACCATTACATACAATAGTTAGGGTAAGAGTCTAAATTCTTTTTCAATTTGATTCCAACTCAAAATCCCAGTTCGAGTGATGTAAAATATGTGCCAATTCTAATTATTTTTTTGATGCAGTTGGCTGTTATTGAACAAATGTACAGTATATGAATCTTATCAGTATATGTTCAATTCGTCAAGAACACAAGCACGCACTAGTGAATCACGACAGAACATTACGAAAGACATTTCATTTTGTTTTTAACAGAACAAGCAGAAACAGATTAGGCAAAGAAAACAAACTACTGATAAACAGAGCTTACTTCCACTCTTTCTGAGATGGTGGAGGTTCTGTTCCAGGGTTAATAGGCCCAGGGTTGGGTGGAGGAAGAAATTTACCTGTTTATAATAAACAGAAAAACAGTGTTTTGAGAAATTTTAGCATAGTACACAGAATGCAATTGCACCAAGCAATTAACATTCTTAACATAAATAATTTGCTTGAAAAATCAAACTCTTTTCGAGAACATCATGAAGAATCTCCAGTTTATGTGACAAAACAGTCAGTTCTGGCATGTTGATATATCCTTGAATTTTTCAATTACAGTATACTTGGTAGAATGTTTTCTGAATTAGTGAGTACTAATTTTAGATGACTAAAAAGAAGAGATAAACTGGAACAAAGCTACATAGTAGGGTGTACTGTATAAGAACAATAAATTAATACCTTAAAGGATAAAACTTAAATGGGCAAAAACTTTTGTATCATATACTATTCTTCTCTGCAGGCTAAAAACAACTTTAAGCAACTTAATTTAATGTTTTATTAGCTCTAATGATTATGCAAATGTCTTTTGGTTTTCATATTTTAACTTTTTGTAAAAAAAGAATAGTAAAAAATGCACAATGTCTACAAGATGTGAATATTGTGTCAACATAAACACCTCTTCAGGCTCAGTGCGTTCCTAATTTGTATTCATGCAGTAGTTCATGCTGTGCTTTTAGCATATTCCCTCATACAGTATCAACAGTCAGTCTCAATAAAACTTTAATTCTGCATTAACAACTCACACACATAGTTATGCAAGCATTTTTCAAATAGGGTTATTTACTCTACATTTAATAAGCCTCTGTTCTGTGGAAGCTATCAAAAATGTCTGGCAGCAAATAATAATTAGAATCCCGTTATGAATCTTAACAGGAGATGTCTGAAATGTACAGTCATCACTACGCTGGCTGAAGTGAGAAACCATAAATACAGCTTACTTTTCCAGGTTTCCAGGTATGATATCAGATTGATATAAAGCACAAACATTATGTCCTACAAAACACACGTAAAAAGCCTCCACAAACTGTCATGGTCATATTCTGCACATGTTCTGCCCTTGGTATTGGTTAGTTGCTCCTACTTGACGAGTCTTATTTTGATACATCACTTAATTCCACTGAACTTACCACCACTTCCTATTCCAGTTCCTTCATAGCCAGGAACACTATCAAACATCGCAGGTGGAGCAACTGCTCCTTCGAAATTTGGCGCCTGTGGGGTAACCATGCCTATGGGGAAAGGATGCAGTTAATGAAACAGCCACCATCTTGAAAGCTATTTTAACAGACCTCAACATAATTTTGTCGCTAGTTATCACGCAATTTTACATGGGCCCTATTAATTTGTGATACAAAGTGCTCTGTATTGACGTTTATTAAGAAGTATTCTTAAGATGTATTAAGGAGTGTTGCAAAATTTTCATAGCTCATTATAAATACTTTTTATAAAAGATAGTTCTTGTTCCTGAAAC